TAATAATAATAATTTATTTGAAATCAAAAACAGTATACCTACTAACAAAACAATAAACATTAATGAATTCAAATATTAAATTCTCGAAAATATATAACATTTAAGTATATACTTGTACATGGTTCTATGTTTTTATTATAAATAAATAAATATTACGAAAAGCTAAGCTTGCTTTACAGAATGAGGGAGATTGTTCAAAAACAATTTAGAAGAAATATGTTGATACAGCAAAAACTTTTTAAAAAATGAATAAATTCGTAAAATGTGTATAAAGATAATGAAAGAGCAAAATATGAAAAAAAATACCTAACAAAATTACATTTTATAAATTCATAATTATAACATCCTTCTAAACTAAAATATAATAAAATGAATTTATTGTTGATTATTTTAATTAAACTACACAGAATAATCATAATGTGGAAAAGAATTTAAATAGGTAATTAATTTTAAATTTCTTAAATCTAGTTCAAAATATTTACATAAATTCTACACCGATATTAATTGGACTACTGTGATACTTGTAACTGACATTTCTACATATTATCTTTTAAAATATATATTCTATTTACATTTTTTAAATATTCTTTTTCTAGAAAATTATTATCAAATCAAGCTTTCTATATAATTGATACACTAACTCACTAAGTTTTACAATATTCATCAATATTTTTATGTTCAATTAAAACCAACTTATTGCAGTCAGTAATACAAATAATATTTCCTTTAAGTTTTAGTTTAATAAACCTCTTGCGTGAATAAGAAACAATAACACCCAAGACGACTGTTTCTTGAGGTATTCTAAATATTTACATTAAATGAATTACTTATATATTCTTCAATTTTAATAATTTACGATCTATTTGAAAGATATTATGTAAAAAAATACGAAAGCCACAAATCTAATTCTTTAATCAAACTATTGCGATTCAAAGATTCAAAACCTTTGTTTCAAATCTTAAAATAAACCAATAATCATATTATTACCATTATTATTACCTACTAGAAAAAATAATATTCGAAGATAATAACAGTGCATTTTTTGTTGATTTGTGTTTCCGAAAACGAAATTACTTTCAGAAAAAAAATGTATGTAGAAAGTGATCTATAATATTATTTGTACATTATTCAATATCATCCGATTTAATACTATGGCTATATAGAACGATTGATCACGTTATAGGTCTATTATTATGTTTTAGGTATCGAAGGATTCACTAAATGTGTAAAATTAATAAATAAAATGTGTAATAAAATTAATATTTTTGAAAAAAGTCATGAGTTAAAAATTATAATTATAATCTTAAAAAACAACTATTAAATTTCAATTTAATGACGTTGGAAAAAAATAGAATGTTCTCTATCTTACAAATTGTTTTTAATATTCTTAAAAATGTGGTTTTAAACCGTAGATTAGGTATAATAACTGTTCTCAATCGTACTTTACCGAACAATTTCGTTTTGATTACGTTTCAGGTCGTAAGTTCTCACCTATGACATAACGGAAAAATGAATATTCAACTGTTCTCTGAGACGGTTATCATCTCTGTCGTCTGATCGCCGTCGCCTGCAGTCCATTTTTAAGGATACTTATAATAATAGGTAACGCCGCGAAGTTGCAAAAAGAAAAATTGTTTTTTAAAAATAATTAATGTAACACATTCCATAAAATATACTGTTTTTTTTTTAGCTAAGCTAAATAATTATAATAATTGTTTATTATTCGACGTCGATACCGACCTGCCTTGAAACATCTGTGGTTGTCGCGTTTGATTTTTATTTATTTTCAGCCAGCGACTTTTTTTTTACTAAGGTATTTTTCCATAGACTCACGCTCGTAACAAATATCGACTATACTTTACGTAAATATCTGTGATTTACTAAATTACACTAAATTTCATTATTATGCATTAATTAAATTATATTTTAATACTTATACCTATGTAATTAGGCATCTATGTGATAACACACATAATTATTACATAGCGATGCTGTAACAGCATCAACGATGTCAAATGTCAATTTATATTATTGTGTTTTATTATTCGCATTCCATATTTTAGGGTTTAATTTGTAAAAATTATGTTTAAGTTTGTTTGTACGTCGGTGACTTGAGTTGTAATGCCACCCACTACAAAATGTATTTATCCATCACGCATAACTACTCGATTATTTCAATAAATTATGTAGGTAAGATACCTTTTTAAATATACTTACAATTATAAAACAAAACATTGAATGCTTATAAAGAATATTCATTGCATTAGTTTTTGTTTTACTTGCTATTATGGACTGGCATCCCGCGACACACCTTAAAAGGTACTCCCGGCTCAACAATATTGGTGTCTTAGACCAAGTACAGGTTCTACACAATATATGAGGGTTGTGACAATAAACAATTACCTTTACTATACTTGAACCAAGCCTATTTTGTTTCCTGGAAATACTGTAATAATATTTAGCCACGCTTGTGATTAATATAAATAATATTAATATAAATAATTCGACGGTGCATAGTAATATCGAATACCACATAATAGATATTCGATATACACATGACAATTGTCAACGTCCAGGATACGCACTCAGGAAAATCGTATCGGGGAGTGGGCCGTTAGTATTTCCCGGTACGATTGTCGGCGGACACAGTATCCGTGGGAACGATTCTCGTATCTAGAGGGCTGGGAGGAGTATAGGGTAGGCCTATACAGAAGACCCGCTAACGTCTTACTGTGATGTAAGCTATCTTTATAAAAAAATACAATAATCTATATAGTATCTTGTCCTGCTACTATATGTATATGAGTAATTGAGTAATCAAAAAGCGTTCTCTATAATTATTATATTGCATACACTCATTGTTTGTCTAGTAATATAAGGTTTGTATTTAGTCCCATTGGCTTTCTGTGTATTATACTATCTGAAATTCTGCACCCATAGTAACAGGTTGCACTGTTGTAGGTACCTACTAAAATAGTAAAATCCTAGATAAATCATTGACAATAGGTAGTACAAAATACTAGATTATAATTTTAGTTTATACACTGTCCTAAAGTAGTCAATAGAGAATCATTATCGCTTATTAGTTGTGTATAAATATTAGGTAGTACCTAATATTATTTTAAACCTAGTTGCAAAACTATTAAAATTTAGGTATATAGTAAGATTATTTAATTCATGTTTTTATTAGTATATCTATTCAATTGTAGTAGTAAAGCTATTGAAATTGTTTCTAATAATTTGTCCGAAATTACAATTGGTGAAATTTTAGTAATTGTTCCCAAGTTAAAACAGTCATAAAAAAATGATGACCATGCATTTTGGATTTTTTTAAACGCTGTAAGAAAATGTATGAATCATCTTTTCTTAAAATAACAAACATTTTTAGTATCAAATAAATAGTATATTTTTAGTCTATTTATTTTAATTTTGGTCACGTAAAATAAAAATAAAAATTCATAATAATCTACTTTTTTTACTTGGGATTACACTCGATCAAAAATCAAATACTTCGACAAGGAAAACAATTGAGTAATTTAAAGTTCTATTAAAGGATACAATGTAAAATGTAAGCTATTATGCTATGTATCTAAAATTAACAAAAAAACACTAAAATCATTTCGATTAATTTAATTTTAATAGGTAGGTACTAGGTATGAAATAAATTTTATAACAAATTTGAAAATATCTATACATTTTTTTTCTGAGTACTCAAATACGTTGGTATTTTAAATATTTTTCAAAGTAGTCAAAACAATCCATATAAATGATTTTACTAAAATAAGAAATAGATTTATCCTAAGTAACAACACAAAGTTAGATAACTCAAATTTATTCTCATAACTTTTTCACGAATTTTGGTTCTGATACATCTTTATTAAATATTATTATGTTCTTGGTGAATTGTAATACCTAATACAATTTGAAAAATATTAAAGATTTTACGTTATGACGGTACCCATTTTGTTTTAAGTATGTAAAACTAAATTCATGGTGTAACCCAAAAATACTCGAACAGTTTGTTTTTGACAGATATTTCAAG